CTGGATCTAAAACTAAACTTTGTAACCGAGTGGAAGGGAAAAATTGTCTCTGAGTTGGAGAATGAAGTTGATGATTTTGTACCTGTAAAAAAAAAAAAAAAAAAAAAATTTAATGAAAGGAATCACCAAATTGTAACTGTTACGAATATTTTCAAAATACCTGAGAATGAACATTAGAATGCGGGCTGGGAACTCTAGATTCCTGAGAAGGACTGGCACCAAATGGAAATTTTTCCAAATGCCGAGACCGCAAAGACAGACTAGGTGAAAGCGTACAAGGACTGGTAGCTTGAGGACTCTGTTTGACAACAGCAAAAATATAATTTATTAACATCAAGTAAGTAATCGTATTGAAATGGTAAAAAAAAAAAAAAAAAAAAAAAAAAACTTACTGTACTAAACGAACTACTTGGATCTTCTTGATCCAGTGGGGTAGGCAAAGGAGAGGGAAAATGAAAACTAGTTAGATCCGGAAGGGATCCAGTGTTGTTTCCTATAGGTATTTGAACCGCTCCAGGCTCATTATGAGATGGATGAATACTAGAAAGAAAAAAATAAATAAATAAAATTATTTTCATTTATTTTATTCTATATGTTTGATAAAGGAAAACGTGGAAAACTCCATACTTAATTCCAGGTACGAGGGAATCTTCATAACAAGATCTGGGTCTTTGTTCTGGAGATTTATCATTAAATGAAATTCCTAAAATTTGACTATCGTGGTGTTGTCGTCTTTGACCAACTTCTTGAGTGCTCTGGTGAAGTGCGCTATCAGAATTTGTACGTCGCCAATTGGTATCCGGTGGTGGTGACAAATAAGAACCACCGTAAGGCGATGTATCGATTCGTTTTTCGATAGGTCGAGATCTCATGGGGCCTACTCCGACGCTCCGACCCCTATCCCTGTACACGACTTGACCATCGGTTCTACCACTTTTATTTATATCTTCGAAATTTCCTAAAGTGCTAACGCGATCAGTCTGGAAATAATTAAAAATAAAATGTATAATTTTAAAATTATCTTTAAAAAAAAAAAAAATTCACGTAATCGCCAACATTTGAACAAAAAAAAATTTTAATTGCACAATTACGATAATTTTTACGAGTATTTTTCTTTTTCCATTGAAATTTTTTTTTTTTTAAGACTTTAAAAATTTAATTATTATTATTATTATTATTAATCATACTATTAATACGAAATATAATTACTTTCTATCGTAAAAAAAAAAAAAAAAAAAAAAAAAAACGTTATTACGTTACATTAACTATCACAAGTTCAAATGAAAAAAAAAAAAAAAAA